CCTAAATACTCTACGTAACATCCAAACAAAATTTTTATTACTTTCAGTTAACCTAGCTTTCAATACCAATTCCATTAAGTTACGCATAAACAAAATACTCAAATAATTTTCCTTTATTATATCAAATAAGTTATAACTATTGACCCTAACTATTACATCATCTTATTAATGCCTAGTGAGAAACACGGGCGTTACAACATGTACTTTGGGTACGTACTCACCTTAGTCCAAAGTTTATACTTATTAACCTTCAAAGAAATGTAAAATCTTATGATACCTCCCTTCCTCTTCAAGAATGATTTGGGAACTTAAGTGACACCTATCAATATTGTGTCAATATCTTATTAAGTGTCTCATTAATTCATTTATTAAGTTCTTATTTTAAAATATGGAATTTTATAGTTTAAAACATTTCTTATGTTAAGACGTAAATGTGGAAGAAAATTGTGTGTGATTTCAAGTTCGTATGAAAAAATGATGAGCAAAACAAGTTTTGGGTTATATGATGCAATCAGAAAAACATACAGCTCCTGTGAATTTCATATGGCTTGTGTGACTCCTGCATACAACTCAAATGTTGAAAAAGCCTATTTTTACCCATTTAACATTGTACTTATCTCCTTTTATCTCCAAACGTTACCAAAACCCAAGTATGTCATAAATAAGTCCTAATATCTAGTGATGGAAAAAAATCTTCATACCCAATGGGGAACTCAAAACTCGCACTCGGTTTGACCAAGGAATCCCTAAGTTGACTGGGGATGGGGAATCCCAAAGTAAAAATCGGGGATGGGGATACCCCTAGTCCCCGACCCTGGACCCGACCCCGGTAGATATTAATATATAAAAATAATAGAAAAAATATATTTATTAAGTGTGTCAATATCTTATTAAGTGTCTCATTAAGTCATTTATTGAGTTCTTATTTTAAAATATGAATTTTATCATTTAAACCCTTTAGTATGTTAAAACATAAACGTAGATGAAAGTTATGTGTGATTTCGAATTCATATGAAATAGTTATGAGCAAAACAAGTTTTGGGTGATATGAAGCAATCCAACAAACGTACAGCTCCTGTGAATTTCACATGGCTCGTGTGCCTCCTGCACACAACTCAAATGTTGAAAAAGGCAATTTTTACCCCTTTAAACATTGTATTTTTCTCCTATTATTTCCAATTGTTTCCAATACCCAAGTATGTCATATATAAGTCCAAATAAGTAATATCACAATTACATCTCAATTAAGTCTTAAATACTCTATGTAACATCCAAAAAAAATATTACTTTCAGTTAACCTAACTTTCAATACCAATTCCAATACCAAGTCATGATTCCTAATACAATTAAATTGTTATGTTGATTTTCCATTCTCCAATGAAGTTGTGAACTCATCGATACTTTGATTCATGGTTACTGTTACCAAGACTACATGAGATAACATTTTGTAAACCATTTTGTCAAAATAATTTTCCATGTTTGAAGCTCGTAGTTGTTTCTAAATTTCTTATTCCATTTTAATGGTTTTTTCTCCATTAGAATTTTTAATTCCACTCACAACTTCAAAGATGAACTATGAAATCACAACAATGGCAAACAATGAATCATTAATTACTTAGTCAACCTAGATTTGTAATCATTATAAGTTCTATAACTAATGTACAACTAATTATAGCGCATATATATATATATATATATATATATATATATATATATATATATAATAATATATAGATATATATATATAGATATTATATATATAAGTCAAGAATGAGGATTCAAAATCACCCAATTCACTTAAGGAATTGGAATCAAACACTTCTATGGTGAAGTATTGTTCCATTGATGAATCACCACATGCTTCTAACATCAAATCATGGACAAATCCTCATCTTAATGGTGTATTTCAAATTTCACTTAAGATTTAGGGTTTAGAAGCTCAAAATCCAATCAACACTCCATTCAAGCATCTATGAGAGAGATGTTGTTTGGAGATTGAATCTAACAAAAGAATGGAGCTTAGAAACTGAACTCTAGATTACTTAGTATTTTCGGATTTAGGGAAAGACCCAATCGTATATCGCTAATTAAGGAAGATAGGGAAAGAGATTTACAAACTCTAGCTTGATGGTAACTCCTATTGTCCAAACTCTAGCTTAAATCTTCACCAAAAATCAACTCAGTCTCTCCTTCCAAGATTCAAATCAATGTTCATGGCTTTTTCACTCCTCTAATTGAGGAGAACACCTCCTTTATATACTCAACTACTATAGGTCTATGTCATATTTAGTCCCTCCTTGGAAATAGTTTAGCTATTTAGTACCATTTATCCCAACTTTGATCTAGGCCTCACAAATATTTTACTCTTGATCTTCCTCCACCGTATTCTATGACATTGAAGGCATATGCACCTAGTTTGGCTAATTCATCTAGTCAATCTCATCTTTTATTAGATTGATACTTTTAACCCTTCTTCCTAAATTTATAATTTAAATATCTTTACTTAATTATTTATTTTAATTAGCAATATAACATTATTTATTATGTTTATTATTTAATTTTATTTTTTTATGTATTTTACTTTTAGTCTATTTAATTTATTTAATTTAAAATAAAACTTTCTAGCCCTAAAAATAGGATGTTACATTTTCATGACACACAAATATCAAAGAATCAATTATCTAAATTGAAGGATCCTAAGACCCCAACAATCAAAGTCAACTTCAATGCCAAAGTCAAGTTTTGGTAACCAAAAATTCCAAAGTCAAAGGTTCATCATAATCAAATAAATCAAACGAGTCAATATAAGCTAACATTGGTTGGCCAATAAGATCAATCAACTTTTAAAGTTTCAACAAAACCAATGAAAATTTCAATCAACAATTATTAGTAATACACTATGCATCTATCTCATTTCCAAGTCGATCTCATTAAGTCCAATATCGCAATCGTCGAGACTCTCAATCTTAACCCATGAAAGGGAATATCTATATGTGGATGAAACAGTGACATAAGCCTCGAAAGGGAATATCTAACGGCAACTATAGTAGCGGCATAACTCATGAAAAGGAAATCTCAGTGCGGTTGTAATAGCAACATAACTCATGAAATGTAATATCTTAGTAAGGCTAATGGAAAAATAATTTTTATTTTTTATTTTAGTTATTTTAACAATTTTTATGTTTAATTAATTTAGATAAACATTTTTTAAAATTCATATCGACTAAACGGCCTCAATCATGGTTTGTATATGAGTAAAATTAAATATAATTTCGAATTAGTTTTATTTCAAACTATGGCTATTGGTTAACTATTCTAAAAATAGATTATTTTGCTATTTTTTAATTTTGATCTATATTGTTATTATTATTATATTTCAAATGTGAATCATTGCTTCAAGATAACATAATATATTTTCTAAATTTATATTATTTTTAAATATTATTATTGTTAACTAATAAAAAAATATTTGTTTGGATATTTTCATGATTATAAAATTTATATTTTGTCAATTTTTTAGTTCATTTTACATTTTATTTGGATTTGATATTTAACACGATATCAATATTTTTACCTATTAAGAAAATAATAATTTTGACATTTTTCTATGTTTATTTAACATTTTTTAGATTTTATATTTAATATAATGTTTAAATTAATAAACTAAGTATATTAGATTACGAAGTGGATTCTTAAATATATTTTTTTTTTAACAGCAAAAGGGGAATCATATTAACAAACTAGCCAGAGGTTAGAAAATGTACAGAATACAAATATAAGAGAGCTAAGGCTACCAGGAGTGGAGGTCCCTCCACGCGTGAAATGCTTACGTGGAGGGTCTCTCCATGCGTGAACACCGCCCCTGGATTCAGTGGGTTGGTGGTGACGTGGCTCCCAGGACGGACGAAGACGCGAACATTCATTGGCCCTTTTAATTTTTGACCGTTGGGGTTAGTAAATAAAAAAAAAAAAAACTTTTTTCCTTTAATTTCCTTTCTCTATCTATATATACATCCACTTACACACAATTTTTTTAAAACAATCATACAAATTCTCTCAAATCAAGCATACAAATTCAACAAAAAAATGGATAGCGGTTCTGATGATGATTTGGTTTTGCACACACTATTGTCTGCGGCACAAGACGTGATTCGTCAGAGAGGCGAAACTTCACACCGCGAGAAGAAACATAGAAAATATATCAATCGGGATCAAGAGACGGCACATGAACTTTTGGTACGTGATTATTTTGCCCCTGATAGTCTTTATGACCTTTCGAAATTCGAAGACCGTTTTCGTATTAGTAGAAATTTATTTTTACGTATAGCTTCAGATTTGGAACGTAATTATGAGTTTTTCCAATTACGATGGGATGCCAGAGGTAAACGTGATTTTACCACAATACAAAGGAGACGAAGAGGATGAGGGCGATGATTACGACGAGAATGCAGACGGTGACGACGAGGCGGATGATGAGGATGATGAGGATGATGACGCCGAGTAGTATTTTTCTACGGTTTTTATGTTTTACTTTTTTTTAAAAAAATTAGGTAGTGTAGTATTTGATTTGTTAGGTTTTATGTGTGTTTTAGTAATTTTAGGTTTTAAATTTCTATGTTTTTAATTAATGAAATGTTTTTTTTTTTTGTGTTTTCAAAATATTTATTTATCTTATAAATTATGTTTTTTATTTCATATAGTGTTACAAAAAAATAAAAAAAGTTACCTATAGCCTAAGGCTTTATAGAATTAGTTAACCACCTATTCCAATTTTTGCTACCCTTATCATTCCTACAACAAAACCAATCCAAAGAGAATAAGATAATGGAATCAATAAATGGTGTCTTTCCTATACTTATTTGCTTTAAAGGCCACGTCATTTCTGTAAGTCCATAGAACCCAAATAGTGGTATAAAACAAGAAGAAAACACAATAATAAAATAAGTCCAGTTTTCTAATATTGAAAATTTGAAATGAGAAAACACAAGAAGAAAATATTCCACCAAAATTCTGAAAATATATAGACCCGTGATATTTCACTGTAATCTTGTGAAAAGATTATGCTCATCTTGCCTTTGTTTTATTCAAAAAAGAAAGAAATCAAAAGTCCACTACACCTTCGTTTCATGACATGCAAACTATACTTGCCATTTTTCATTATTATCATCTTATTATTATCTACAAAAATCAAAAGTTTCCCCTCATCCTCACTATTTGGAGATCATACACAACTATATCAATACTTCCACTTTTTTTGCCTCTTGTTTATCGTACAATCACGAATCTTTTAATCCTTCATCCAACTTTATTGCTTCGCCTGAAAAAAAAAATACAAATCACGAAAATTTACAAAAACTCTTGTGTTTTTAGCATCAAAAAGACAAATTTCTGCCAAATGTGGTCCAAAATAGGACAATCCATTGAACTAGACGACAATTTTTTTGATGTGGTGAGCAGTTGAAAAGACGAATTTGGACATGAAAGAGCAACAAGTTTACCTGAGAATACAAGAAAGTTCCAAAGACAGCGATTGCAGCTCCAAGGGCGTTGACTGGTTGGACAGGTGTACGGAAGATGATGATGGAGGAGACTATGACAGATATTCGTTTCATTGTGTTTCCAATACTAAAAGTTAAAGGAGAGATTTCATCAAGTGACATGTATGAAACTTGATTGTATAAGTGGTAGAAGATACTTTGAGCTGCCACCCACCTATCCAAAAAAAAAAAAAAAAAATTGTTAAGATAAATGTAAAATGAGTAAATGACATACCTACCCTTGTAGCATTAACTTTCTTTATAGTTTCGAAAACCCTTTAGTCATATGACACACAAAAAGGGCACCATATAAGTTGAAGAGTCAAAGTAATAAAACTTGTTGTCGTGATACAAAATAGACTAATATAAATATACAATTGAGAAAACAATTTTTGAAATTTGATTAAAAAAAAAAACAAAAGAGTAGGTAGAGATGTCATGTGATTACCAAATGAAATGGGGTCCAATTTCAGTAATGGCATTCTGCCATCCAACTGCCCAAATTTGTGGGCCCTCAACAGCAATTGCAAATGGAGTGAGAATTAAGAGAGAAAGCAAAGATAAACAAGCGTAATAATTCATCCCACTAACAGATTTCCCCTTCATGCCTCTTTTTGAAAATATGTTCCTAAACACAAAGGCCAAATTAGAAATCATTGCTCCCATAAACCCTGAAAATCAAAAGTCAAAAAACCAAATTAAAAATCTCAAAGATTGATAACGATTCATGAATCAAAGAAAATTTGATGATTTGATTACCAATCATGTTGAAGTTGAGTTCTGTAAGAGCAGCAAGACCACAACCACCGATGATGGGGATGAGGGATAAGTAAACCGGCATAGGGAAAGTTTCTCCTAAAATGAACCGGGAAACTAATACACTGAAAGCCGGTTCACCACTCTTGATTATGTGAGTGAAAGAAACAGCTACTTTTGACATACTAACAGTTGCTGCTACATGGCCAATTGTATGTGCTAATGCAACCTAAAAAACATTAATTTTTTGAAGATTCATTAAAGATTCGATGAACCCAGGTATGAAACGATGAATTACACAATACCCAGATCATGTAGTTGCTTAGAACTTAAGAGCCGTGTTTGTATTAGATATAAGATGAAATTAAACCTAAAAAAAGCCCTAAATTGCTTACAGGGAATAAGGATTTCCAGAAGTCGAGATCGGTTTTTGGTGCTTCGGCTACTTTCGTTGCCCAAGAGATTAACATGATGAGAGATCCAGCAGCGAGAGATAAAGTTGATGTCAACCATGGGAATGGAAAAGCATTCAAAACCTTCTTATTATAAATATTGAAAATCACATTCAAAAACCACCAAGTTGCGAAATAAAAACCGATTTTCGCTTTTCTTGCTGCTTCAACCTTTTCGACAACTCCTCCTCCATCGGATTGATCAGCCTCGTATGCGTTGCAAGGGGGCAACGATTTCCTTTTGGGTTGTATTTCCGATGATCCAAGAGTATGAATTGAAGAAATATGTAGAGGTTTTGAAAGGGAGGAAAACGGAAAAATTGGGAAGTTTGGGCATAGAAATCGATGGTGAAGCGGAGAATTGCACAAGGGGATTTCTCCGGTGACTGATAACATTGGAGCCACAGCCCAATAGCTGAGACTGCTTCAAAGAACACATCATCGTGTACGATCAGGAATTGAAAATTGTATAAACCCTTGTTGGATCAAGTGATTAACAGTGGGTTTTGACTGGAAAATTGACAAATCGAAACTTTGTTTATGGAATATTTGATTTTTGCAATGTAGGGTGGGAAGAAGGAAGATATGAATTGGAAACTAGAGCCACCAAACAATTCATGTGTTCATTGTATCAGGATCTGTGACGACTTTTGATCGAATAAAATATTTGTGTAATTTATTACTAGGGTGGTGGAATGAAAAGGGCGGTCTTCGAAGGGTTGCTGATTCTCAAAGCTTATGCTTTTCTTAATTAAACCATACCCTATCAGCATCCGCCACGTGTACACTCTTTTTCTTACCAAAAGTATATGCTATAGCATATATTTTCAAATTATTGATCTTTGTATAACTAATCATAAATCATAATTTATTTGAGAATAAGTAGTTTATCAATATATTTGTATTTGCCGTTTCAAAAAGAAAAAAATTCATAAATCATAATATCTAAAATGGGATTTATTCGGGAATTATATCAAAATATATATTTTGAGAAAAATTATATTTCGGAGTCATATTTCAGATCTTGGAATCATATTTCCGAGGTACTGAAATTTCAAAAACATATTCATAATTAAGAACAGTACGAAATTTTGAAAAAATGTTTCAAATTTTTATTGAATTTTTACACAAAGTTAAAAAAATAACAAAAACAAAGTAGGTTACAATACAAAGACATCAATGTGTCATTTAGTTGAAAAAAAATGAAGAAATAATACATTTTAGATTTCACAGAAGATAATTTTGAAAATTATTTGAAATTAATATTCACATTATATATCATCCATCTGAAATACCCATTTTAGATTTGCTGGTCACTTTGATAAGTAGGTAAAAGTTGAGTACCAAAGGGCTTCTAGTCCAGCGGTATCCGGTGTTGCCCTCCCTTCTTGAGGTTGAGGGTTCAAGTCTTGTCGTGGACATATGTGGATTTGAGGTGTAGTTTAGGAGTATGTTAGATTTGCCGTTTCAAAAAAAAAAAAAAAAAAGGTAAAAGTTGAGTCATTTACCGACATCTTCGATAACAATGTGTTCGTTTTTGTCAATATCATTTTTTATGGTTTAAAGATCTATATTTATTTTTAATTTAAGTGGCAAGTTCTTTGCAATCTGATAGCTGTTAAACTGCTGAATATATTTGAATTTTGCAAATGAAGAATTAATACGAGAGGAACATAAGAGATTTGGAAAGAATAATGTTAAGATAGATATACACTAGACCTTTGTTGAATAGAACGTCAAATTAGGGTTAAAAATATAGAACGTCAAATTAGGGTGAAAATGATGTTGACTGTAACATCTGAAAAGTTAACTCTATAAGTTTTTGGATACTTGCATTGGTTGTATACAAAATTAAAATTTTGGGTATTAAGAACAGTACGAAATTTTGAAAAATGTTTCAAATTTTTATTGAATTTTTACACAAAGTTAAAAAAATAACAAAAACAAAGTAGGTTACAATACAAAGACATCAATGTGTCATTTAGTTGAAAAAAAATGAAGAAATAATACATTTTAGATTTCACAGAAGATAATTTTGAAAATTATTTGAAATTAATATTCACATTATATATCATCCATCTGAAATACCCATTTTAGATTTGCTGGTCACTTTGATAAGTAGGTAAAAGTTGAGTACCAAAGGGCTTCTAGTCCAGCGGTATCCGGTGTTGCCCTCCCTTCTTGAGGTTGAGGGTTCAAGTCTTGTCGTGGACATATGTGGATTTGAGGTGTAGTTTAGGAGTATGTTAGATTTGCCGTTTCAAAAAAAAAAAAAAAAAGGTAAAAGTTGAGTCATTTACCGACATCTTCGATAACAATGTGTTCGTTTTTGTCAATATCATTTTTTATGGTTTAAAGATCTATATTTATTTTTAATTTAAGTGGCAAGTTCTTTGCAATCTGATAGCTGTTAAACTGCTGAATATATTTGAATTTTGCAAATGAAGAATTAATACGAGAGGAACATAAGAGATTTGGAAAGAATAATGTTAAGATAGATATACACTAGACCTTTGTTGAATAGAACGTCAAATTAGGGTTAAAAATATAGAACGTCAAATTAGGGTGAAAATGATGTTGACTGTAACATCTGAAAAGTTAACTCTATAAGTTTTTGGATACTTGCATTGGTTGTATACAAAATTAAAATTTTGGGTATAAAGATGCCCCCCCCCCCCCCCCCCCGTTAGTAAAAAATACCCGTGCCAATTTGAAAAATAAAATTAAAAACTAATTATAAAAATAATGTCCGGTTGGGATGAGTTTGGGGAGGTTTATTGCAGTTTTGTTTAAAACCGTACTAAAAACCACATTGGTCGGTTTTAGCTTGTTAAAATCGCACATTTCGGATTTTATGTTAGTGCGGTCTATGGTTATAGTTGTGGTTCGGTTTTTATGGTGTTCGATTTGATTTATAAACCACAATAAGTATGTGTTGTTTTCATATGTGATAGTTTTAAAAGTGCAAAACCGATGGACTATAAACATATTCTTTGGGCTTATAATAAGTCGAACACAAATGTAAAATGACTTTTTGACGAATTAGTGACTAAAATGCTAGAAAATATCAAAACTATCACCAAAACATATTTGAGACTACTTGTGCCCAAAACAAGTGTAAAGCGGTTTTCTGAAGATTTAGGGACTTAGGGTTGAAAATAAAAATCTCGTTTTTTTGGTCAACGTAATTTAGAAAAACATAAAAAGAACAACTTCAAAAGTATCATTGTTATCACCCAAAATAAATTAATCATCAGCAAGATTTGCATATTCCCCAAAAACATTATCTTGATTTTGAACCAAAGGCTCTGATGTAGGAATGATATTTTTGTGAGTTTCAACCGAAGGTTCAACTATTGGAGTAGTAATCTATTATATAAACTAGGTTACAACCCGTGGAAACCACGAGTAAGAAAAAAAAGTAATACTAATAATTAAAAATGGTAATACAAAATCAACATATTTCTAAAATTTTAATAAATTAATAAAATATAAGTATTGTTTACATTTATTTAAAATTAATATATATATATATATATATATATATATATATATATATATATATATATGATACATAAAAAGCTATTTCGTAAAAAATACGACCTTTTTTCTCTAATTAGTTACCTTAGTATTTTCAAAGTACTAAAAACAAATACCATTTTTTGTCTAACTTTTTAATTGTGAGTAATGATAAAGAAATTTAGTATTAAATTAATTAACATCAAATAAAACTCAAAAAAAAAAAACATTCACTACAATAATAATAATAATGTATATAAATATATGTTAAGTTTATAATATAACTTCATATCACCATTAAAGTTCAAGAAAACAATTAAACCCTACAACATAATTCCACAAACATAACACTACAACTTCACATGCTTGTTACACAATGTGCTTCTAATTGTATCTTTTGTCTAGACAGAGATAAACATGAATTCAATATTTTTTCCTTCATTATCTTCTTTTATATTAGGAACCAAGTACAAACATATGTGCCCATCTCATCTATCTTGTAGTCAACCATAATGGGAAGTGCTGAACATGAGTCGAGTGTTATTGTAGTACGGACATGGTGTAGCCTTGGAAAATAAATTCATATACCTCGATACAAATTCAGTTACCACATATAAATCAACATTGATTAACTAAAACACTAAGGATAAAAATATTCATTCAAGAAAAAAAAAGGTTGTGTATGTAACCTTATTTGTTGTTCTGTTCTGTCTGCATATTACATTTGAAGTTCTAGTATCGCCTCTTGTTGAGGACTTGACACCTCCCGTTAGTCCTAAATAAGATTTTGGAAAGTTAAATATATAACTAAATGTGAAAATTTTGAATTATTATATAGCTTTTCATCATCATTATATTAAAAGTAAACAAATAGATTTATACATTCTTGTTCATGTTGTCATTTCTTGTTCCCAGAAGCATCAATAGATAAACATTCAGTTTTGGTAGCATCATACTGTTCTATATCATGCAATTCATCATACTTTCAAACTATAGCAATTTTTTAACAGAATAAACAAATCAATGAGAGTAAATATCTATAATTGTAAAAAAAAGTACTTTGAAACTACATTGCTATAATTGACAGGATCTTACTTGCATTTAAAACACATAGAGAAAATAACACAAATAGAGTAATAGAGATGGTCCTTATGCATAACCATTAAAGTACAATGCTAAAATGTAAGAGAAGATCACTAAAAATGAAAAAGAGAGCAACTATTTTACAGTTTTCCACCACAAAGAGGCAAAGCAAACATAATATTCTTTAATATGGCATTTCGTCGAGCATATGGTGTGCAAGTCAGAATAATCTAGTTTGCAAATCGCCCACCATGCATTTTTGTGCTATTAAAATGTAAGATAATAATCGAGTATATATATGATCGTAACAACGAAAGAATTAACACTAATGCGATTGATGTGAAAGCATTTTGATTAGAGGCGGTGGATGTGATGGGAGAATGTTGAATTACTGATAGATTTGAGGAACAGAACTTACCCGAAATCGTTGCTCCCAATATCAAAGTTTACAATCATATCGATCAATGGGGATGGAAGCCAAAGGATGTAACTGCAAGCCTTTAAGAACAGGAACAACAATAATCAAACCATATATGACTACAAAATTAGATGCATGTGTGCAAAGGCATTAGACGTTTTTATAAACTATATCTCAGATGGTGAAATTGAGAGTAAGAAGAGGCTAGAACCTGTAACATTGATAGAGATGACGATCGGTATGTATATTATCACATAGTCATTATCAAGTTACTCAATTCTTCATCATTCATCATTGCTAGTTGTATGCGTCTTGGAACAATCCTTGTTTCCTGCTTGTCTAGTCAACTCCAATAACAAGCAAAAAATTCATCAAAATCGACATCAAAAGAAAACTAAAAACCTTTTCATAAGTTTTCTATTACTTGGACTCCAAAATTTGTTCGATCATCACATCATGCTCCAATAACCTAAATTTTGATTTACTGATCGTTAACATAAACTAAGCCTTGAATTTGGTTTGATTGGAATTTTAATTTTGATTTGATGGGGAGATAAATGAATTTGCTAAGTTACCGGGATAGCGAAGGAAAAAGAAATGAAGGATAAAAGAGTTGTTATGGAAAGATGTTTATCGATTATAAGGCTAAGGGTAAAATAGTCAATTAATTTGGAGTGGAGAAGGCATTGAGCATATTACACGTGT